TCACAGACGAGGACTCTGCGGTCCCGGGCTGTGCTCCCACTGGCCACCCCGCCTGGCCCACCTCTACTAATCCTTCTCTCCGGAGGCCTGAGCCCCTCTGACCCCGGGGGCTTTGGGTGAGGGCTCGCCTTGATGATCCCCAGCCTGTCTGTCTGCCTGGAGCTCGTGTACCAGCAGCCCTGTTCCTGGCACCATCCAGGGTCTCAGCAGGTGGCCTGACTTTCAGAGCAGAAATGGCTTGGGAGGGGTGCTGACTTGTCATGGGGAGTGCTGGGGAAGGGGAGGGGGTGGCGGCAGAGGGTGGGTGGCAGGAAGAATGGAGGTCAAGACCCCAGCTTCTCTCTGGGAGGCAAGGGAGCCCTTAGGGTCACCCTTCTTGGTGTCATCTTGGCCCACTTCCTCACCCAGGGGCCCCAGAGGTGGGTCCCTCCATGCCTGGCAGGGTCTCTTGAAGCTGCACAGACTCGGGAGGCCACTAGGAACCTGACCAGCCACTGGCCTTTGGCCGGCTGAGTGCCTGGATGACCCCTTGATGGCTAGGCTGCAGAACCGAGCTCCCCTGTCCCCCGCCTGGGTCTGCTCCCCACCCAGCCCCCAGCCACCTCGCCCAAGCCGGGCAAGAACAATTAAAGCCCCTGTCCCCAATTGGTTTGTGGTATTAAAAACGAATTGCGATCAGCTGGGTTGTCATTTCTACCTGATAAAACATCACTTTTATTGATCTCACTCACCCAATGCCATCACTTATCTTGCTTCAGCATTTCACATAATGGCTCGTTTGTCTTGATCCAAGTGCAGTCTCGCATGTTTAACCCTTGGGGCTCTGTGGCCTCTCATGTGCCACCACCCCCACCCTCCGTCCCTTGCCAGGCCCTGTTCTGGTGGGCAGGAGGTTCTAGAAGGCAAGAGCCACACAGTGTTAAGGCAGGAAGAGGGAGGGGTTGGGGGAGGGGAGGAGAAAGTAGGGGTGCTGGGGACGGACCCTCGGGGGCTCACCTAGTGGTCCTCACCTGTGTCACTGTAGTTCCCTGCCTCCCGGCTCACCCCCACCGGCCCCCGTTTCTGTGCCGATTGACAACCCTCCCAGGTTTCTGGTCTGCAGGACCCCCTCACCCTCTAGCCCAGACCTGAACTCCTGTCCCCACCCCAGTCCCTTAGAGTCTTTCTCTGGGTGCCGGTGTCTCCCCAAGGTGCTGGTTGTCTGACTATGGGGTTGCAGAGGGAGGCATCTCAGTCTGATTTCGGACTCCGCCTAGAGACTTCTGTGTGTCCCATCTCCAGCAGACAGTGCAGACCTGTCCTGCACTCAGGCTCTGGCCCTGGCCACAGTCCAGCTATTGCTTCTGCTCCTCTGTACCTCCTGGCCACCAGCCAGCCATGTTCCTCACCTCCCTGTTCCCTGCCATGGTCCTGCCTGGACTCTGCCCCAGCACATAACCAATACACTTTCAGGCCCACAGGGGTCTCTGCCCGCTTCCCCCAGCCCCCCCTTCCCCCACTACAGTGGGCCTCTGAGCCAGAAACTGTGGTCAGCTAGCACTCCCCTGCTCAGACCCCTTCTGCCACTCATCCTTGTCCCCAAGGCCTCCTCTGGGCTCGCCTTCTCCTCTCCCTCCTGCAGCCCTTGGACGTGGGCTTCCCTCCTGAGCAGCTGGAAACCTGCGCCTGCACAGAGTGGGGGCTGCTGACTCAAGAACTCGGTGAATCTAAGGGCCAGGTTGTCAGCCTTCAGGCATGGCTGAGCCCAGGAGCTCAGGCTGATTGTTCCAACTTCTTGCGGCCCCAGGCCTGCTCAGGAGCCCCGTTCTCATCAGATTCCTTGATGGGCTTGGACCGGCCCTAGGGAAGAACTTGTCAGGCCTTACCTGTCACACCTGGCTGGTCACACGGCCTTGGGCCTTCTGCACCCCAGGGAGGGGTCTGCTTTCTCTGAATGAATCATCCCGCGGAGGAAATGAAAAAGGGGAACATGGCGTGGTCAGGGCTGGCCTGGGGTAGCCCCAGAGTGGATGGGCTGGCAGCGTGTGTGTGCACCTGTGTGAATAGCCCACAGCTCCTGACACCCCTGGGGGGGGTCACAGCCCCACTACCCACACTTCTCTGCCCTGACCTGAGCTCCCCTCATCGGGGTCCCAGTTTCAGCTGAAGGGGTCCTCCCCAGGAGGTCTTAGAGGTGGAGGGAAAACAGCGCCACCCCCCCTAGGTAGGGTTCCTGGGGGGCCCTCAGGGCTGCAGCCTCACTGAGCGGAGCTCTCTGGAGCGGGGGGGGGGGGGCGCACATTGAGATGTACCCTTGCCCAACATCCCCCAGGCCCTGATGGGGGCCAACCATCCATTGAACAATCAGGACTGCTGTTTGAGTGTAACTCCTGCATAGCTGAAAATATTTGTCAAATTCATGCCTTCCGTGAGGAGAGTGTCTGCTGTCCGGTCTGCCCAGACCCCTCCGCTCCACTTTGGGGACCACCTTCTCCCCCATGCCTCTACCTTCCCCTCCTCCCTTCCAGGGGCACCCGGCCTGGCCACATGTTCAGGCTGGACATCTGACCCACCTTGGGAGAGATCTATCAAGAGAGGGACACTTGTCCTGGGTGGGGGGGTCTCAAAGCCAAGGCCACTCCAAAGCCATTTTGGCTGCATGTGCCTCTCAAAGGAAAGGCCCAGCCCCCCCAATTCTGGCTCTGCTAGGCTGCTGCAGGGTAGGCCTCGCCATTGCCCCAGTCCCTTGTCTGCTGAGACCCCAGCCTCTGGGGCCTCCAGGGAGGAGAGAACACACACATTGGACACTGGGGTGCAGTTAGGATTCTGGACCACTGAAAACCTGTACAATAGTTTATATATTTATTCTTAAGCAAGTTATCAATAAAAAATTTAATACTAAAATGCCTTTACATAGAGTTTGCTGTTCATAAAACCTTTGCATTTTTTTTTTTGTTTGTTTTTAGTGTTTACATTGGAAAAAAAAATCAACCATCCTCTTAGTTTACACATTTACATGAGTCGTGCTTTTGCCAGGTTTAACCACGGTGGGGGGCCGCGCTGTCCGCGCACACACGGACAGAGGGGATGAGGAGAGAAAAGCAAAGGACAGAAGTCCACAGACAGGGAGAATAACCAACAGGAGGGCGGGAAGGCCAAGAAAAGGCTGCCTGTTTTGTTCGTTCCTGCCTTGCAGACTGGGGTTGGAAGTAGCCTCAGGTTCTAGTGTCCATGGCTGGGCCTTCCCCACATGCGCCTTGGCAATTGGCTGTGTCCTCTCCACGGCATCTTTCCACTTCCCCAGCCGCCAGCAGGACCTTGGCCGCCGTCTCCAGGACGACCACCAGGAATGAAATATTGCACTCGAGCCGAGACAAAGGGGAGAGTTGGGGTGGGAGAGGAAAGCTGGGGTGCAGGGGAACCCCTCCCTGTCCCTGTACTTTCCTTGGAGCCGCCAGGAGCGGGGGAGGGCCCTCCAGGTGGGCGGGGTGATTTCCTGGTTGGAAAGAAAAGGGGGCCCAGGCACCCACCGACTTATTTCCCAGGTACCTGGTGTGGGTCTGTGGGTCACACAAGAGCCCGTGCTAAGGAGCAGTGGCTAACGTGGGGGGCTTTCCTGGGGATCTCAGTGAGGCCAGGGGACCCTTAGTGTGACATGGGAGCATGGAGCCCTCAGTGCGTGTTTTTGGGGGGAGGGAAGGGCTATTGGGTCACGGTCCTGGCTTGCCCTGCCTGTCCCTCTTGGCCTCAGAAGAAGTGAAGGGGTGACATGTTCTCTGGGGTTACTGGGGTGGTGCTGAGGGTCTGGGACATGCATGCGGCACAACAGTAATTATGGTGCTGGGCAGAGCAGTGCTCCTTGTACCCGAAGCTGGGGTGTGGGCAGGAGGAACCCTGCTCTGGGCCCCAAGCACTAGCCTGCCAGGTCATCGGCCCTGCCAAGCGGCTGAGGAAAAGGCCCGCAAAACTCCACGTGAGTTGGGGAGGGCCAGTTCCTTTGCTGCTGAGTGGAGGCTGGGCAAGATGGTCAGTGAAACGGAAATTGGAAATAACTTGGAATATTCAGGAAATCAAATCAAAACATCATCCTTTCATATTGATAGTTTAAAACATTTGTTCATTTTTGCTTTGTTTTAAACAGAGGTAAGATACATATGGCTGCAGTCACACTCTTGGGCTGGGGAGCCTGCTCCTGGCGTCCCTTCTACCCGCCAAGGGACCCTCATCATTGACCTCCCCCAATACTTTTTTCCCCAGGAGATGAATTAAAAGGAAATAAACTCGAGTGTGACTTCCATCTTAGACAGTCCCCCCAAGAGGTCAGCAGGTATAATCTAGGGTTCTGTCTGATCCCTCCTGTGGCCTCTGGCCCCTCGGACCACGCCCCCGCTGCCTCTGTTGTCACAGACGCCTCAGTTGGAACTCAGCTAGGCTGAGGAAAACAGTGCATTTTCAAAGAAAACCCCCCAGAACAAAATCTCTACACACACACATACACAGACACACACACACTCACCCACACACACCCTTGTCACGCGTGTGGGGAAAAAAAAAAATCCTTTTCCACTTTTTTTCCATAAAACTTCCCCGCAAGGAATACAATATTTACATAGAGAAATAAATAGACAACACACCTGATTTCTGCTTTCCCTGGTGGGAGACAGTCGGAGGTACTAGGGAAAATATGGCTTGGATTCTAATCTTTCGTGAACTGCAGATGCGGGAAAACAGAGAGGGCCGGCGGATCCCAGTTGGGGGCACAGCTGACCCTCCGCAGCAGACGGATGGGACTGGGTTCCGACGCCTAAAAGATCTCTCGCTTTCCAGGGAAAATAATAATAATAATAATAATAAAAAGCCTGGATCTTGCCTTGGTGGGTTTGCATATTTGCTCAGACTCGCCCCTCCGAGGTGTGGGCCAGCCTCCTACTCAGAGGTGTGGGGCTGCATCCTCTCGTGCCTGTGGCTCGCACGCCGGGCACCGCTGGGCGGGTGGGTCACCTGCAGCCGTCCGCGCAGAGTCAGCACAGAATGGGCACGCCGTCGGCCGTCACCAAGCGCCCCGTGGTGGGGTCGTAGGTGCCCGCCAGGTAATAGAGGTCCCGCCGGTCCTGGTACTTGCGGCTCCGTGTCATCTGCTCGTACTGCTCGCGCCCTACGACCTGGCACTTGTGGGAAATGGTCTGCACGTCGTTCTCGTCCTCGTGGCAGGACTGGTACAGCGCGTTCTGCCGGGGAGCGGGGTGAGGAGCGCCTGGGGTCAGGTCTGGCATGGGACAGCACGCCCCACCCGACCCCGGGACCCTCAGCTCTGGATAAGATTTTAACCGTGTGGCGGGGGAGCTGGCACCTAGAGCCCCAGCAGGTGGGCAGAGTGCAAGAAACACTTGTTTCTGCACTAGCTGCAAACACGGTTCTCAGGGAAGACAGGAGAGCGTGCTGGGGGTGTTTAGGGTCTTAGATCGATTTGGGCAGGCAGGGACCAGAGGGTCTGCTGTAGGGGGGCACTGCTGAGGGTGGGACCTGCTTGGTGCTACATGCTGCCATGGGTCACAGCCCCCGACGAGGTGAAACTGTCACTCACTCCACTAGGAGTCATGGAAGTGGTTGGGGAGGGATCCAGGTGGCCTGGCTCAGGGCCTGAGCCCTCAGCCATGTTACTCCCTGTGGGGCCCATGTGACCCTGAGGAAGAGGCACCTTGAGGTGTGGGTACAGGGAGGGGCGATGTTCACAGGTGATCATTCCCCTTCTTCCGACTGCTGGTGCTGGTTGCTAAGATACCTCTTCCCAGCCCCCCACTCTGAGCCTGCCCAGACCCCCGGGACCCCTGCCCTCCACCAGGCGGCCCCACCTTCCCATCACTCTGCCGCTTCCCCAGTTTGGTCTCCTCCGGATGGTAGAACCACTTGACCTTCACCACCATGTTGCTGCCCCACGACTCCCACATGCTCTCGATGCGGCCGATGTAGGGCAGGTTGGGCCGCCCGGCTGACAGGAAGACCGCGCAGTCCCCGATGCGAAGCGTCTCCTTGCCCCGGACGATGGCCTTGTAGAACAGCTTCCTGGCCTTCCCCTTCATGCCACGCCTCTGCAGGAGACAGCCAGGGGCACAGGGTGGGCAGGGGACACAGGCCGGAATGACAGAGAGCGACAGTGTGCAGGAGAGACAAATGCCAGGTCTTGAGGACGCTTGCGCGGGCCAGGCCCACCTACCTGCGTGGGGTTCCCCGACCACTTCCAGAGCTGCCGGGCGGGCAGGAAGGCTGAGATCTTTGGCCGGTTTTCCACGGAGGGCAGCCGCTGCCTCCGGGACAGCTCTTTGGCTTTGGAGAAGCTCAGGGCCTCCTTGCGCTTGAGCCGGGGTCTGCTGCTGCTGGGGCCCGCGCCCGCACCCCCACCAGCCACGGCGGCCCTGGACAGGAAGCAGCGCTGGGCGTGCGGGTGCGGGCCGCCCCCCTTGGAGCGCAGGGCCTCGGGCTGGGCCAGGAGCGCGGGCACTGGGTGGGTGAGGCATGTCTGCAGCAGCAGGGCGGGGTCCTCCTCGTCCGAGCTGTAGGAAGAGCCCTCGTCTTCCGAGGAGCAGAGGCTGGAGGTGGACAGGGAGCCCGAGGAGGAGGAGGTGGATGAGCCCGAGGACGAGGAGGACACGGACAGGCGGGCGAGGAAGCGGGAGGGCACGCCGGGTGCCAGGCCAGGCCCGTCCTCCTCCTCGTCTGAGTAGGAGCTGTGGCAGTCGCTGTCGCAGGGCAGCGGGTACTCGGCCTGGCCCGTGAACTTGCGCAGCGCCAGCCCCATGGGCAGCGGGTGGACGGGCGCCCGCCCCTTCCTGTCCTTGCCCACGAGGGCTGGGTGCCCGTAGCTGGGGCTGGGCAGGGGCCTCCCTGGCCTGGCCCCCGAGTCCTTGTCGCCAGCGTGTAGCGCCTTGCAGTTCTTGCTCTTGGGGGAGGTCACGCCCTCGTGGTCCAGCTTGACCAGGAACTCGCCGCCCGTCCGCCGCCGCCCACCCTTCTCAACCTCAGCCTTCTTGGCCCGCAGCAGCTTGTGGGCCCCCCCAGGCAGGCCAGGCCCGGCCCCGCCGACAAAGGGCGCGTAGGAGCTGGCCAGACTGCTGAAGGAGTCAGCGCGGAAGCCGTTGCCGAACACAGGTGGTGCCACGCTGTGCATGGGGAACAGGGCCTCGCGGGCCCGCAGCTTCTTGGCGCTGCCGTTGAGCTGGAAGAGGTTCTGCAGCACGCCTGGCCCCTTGCTGCCTGCCGCGGCCACCGCCTTCCGCTTGGTCTGTGCCACCGCCGACCAGCTCAGCAGCGGGCTGCCCCGGCGGCCCAAGAAGTGGTCTGAGGCCCCCGCGGGGGGCTTGGCACCAGAGGTCAGGAGCTCTGTTTTGCCTGGGGAGAGGCCAGGTAGAGTCAGAGAAACCACCCTCCCACCCTTCCTTCCCCCCCACTCCTGAGGGAGTTCCCCACCAGAGGTCCTGTGAGTACCAGCTTTGTCTTTGCCTGTGGATTTCTTCCCGGAGGTCTTTGAGGCTTCAGACCCATCATGAGCCTTAGGAGACAGGCTGGGAGCGGTGGCCTCACTGGGCGGGGGCGCCTCACAGGAAGACTTCTTGGTCCTCCGGCAGCTGCTGGACACCAGCAGGGCTGGCGAGGGCTCGGTGCCTGCAGGGGGACCAGTGGCCTCAGCGCTGTGCTGCCGGGGTGACCTCTTCCCCATGAGCCTCCTCTTGGGAGACCAGGGAGCTAATGTCTGGACCCAGGAGAAGCCCGCCCGAACTCCAGCCATATGGGCTGATCCAGGAAGGAAGGATGCCACCCTGGAGGGCCCTGGGGCTCACACTGGATCTTGAAGTCTGGAGGCAGCAGCCTGATGTTGGAGACAGCAATGTGGCCAGTGTCCCCATCGTCGAACTCCACCACCACGGAGTCCAGGTCCTCTTCCTCATCACTGGAGGTGCCTGGAGATAGGGCCCACCTGAGCATACCACCCTCTGCTCTGGGCCCAAAAAGCCCTCCCCAGTGGCCAGGTGGCCAGGACAGGAGAATGATGGGATGGGCTCCGGAGCGCCTGACAAACGATGCTGGGACATTCTGCTCCCTGATCACATTTGACCTTGGAGCTGCCGTGGCAGCTGGGAGCAGCTCGCCTCCCCTCCACCTCCTGAAGTGCCGCCAGAGAGGCAATATTACTGCCATCCATCACCTGCATCCCAGGGCACACACGTAGGGACGCAGGGCCCCCGACCTCCCCCTGTGGACAGGCTCACAGATGCAGACACATGCCTGGCTGAGGTCTGCCAGACAATTTGCCCACCCACCTGTCTGACCCCAGGATCCCCACATCCTGTGCCGGGGAGGGGGGAACAGAAGAATTCACCCAGGAGAGCTGGGGCCCAGGTGACCAGTTCATAACCCTCAGGTCCAGGGCTCTGGGGCCCCTCTCTGCTAGGCCTTCTTGGTCAGCCAGTGGCTCCACCCTGTCCCCACCCAGGCAGCCCCTCTACTTTTCCTGTTGACCAAGGAGCTGAGGTTATCGTCTGCCCTATCCTATCTGCTCTGGCCTGGGAAGCAGGGCTGGTAGGAAGCCTTCCTTGAGAGACAGGGTCCCCTCCCTGGCACCCTAGGGGTCTTGGAGGGGCCTCCAGTCTGTAGCTTTGCCTGAGGGGAGGAGCTGATGGACCTCACTGGGGTCCCCGGGTGGCGCTCACCTCGTACCACGTTGCCTGGGTACAGGCAGCGGGACTTCTGGCTCCAGTAGGCACAGACCCTCGTGCCGGGCGGGAGGTACCGGCTGGACTGGGGTCGGACATCCAGAACCTGTGGGAACAGTAGTTTGATAGCCGTGAGCGGGTAGGGCTGGCCGAGGGGCGCCCAGGAGGGGCTGGGTGCCATCAGGCCCACCTCCCTGGGGTGGTGAGCCGAGCAGGGGCTGTCCCCTCACCGCCTCCTGCAGCAGCTGCTCCAGCGAGTAGATCCTTTGCCGATTGCCTCTTTCGCCCTCGATGACAATGCTGTAGCTGAGTGGGGGACGGGGCATGGCAACGGGAGCATGAGATAGGCCTGCAGACCCCCACCCCGCCCACAGCCCTCCCAGCATACACGCCGGGGCCTCACATGTCAGGGGGCTGCAGGGTCCTGACGCTGCCTGCATACAGCAGACTGTCTTCCTTGGGGATGAGCACAGGCAGCCCGTCCTGCAGGTCCTCCTTGTGAATGGTGCATGAGCGTGCTGCGGAGACCAGGGCGTCAGTGCCCGGCCCCCCACCTGCCCACCACTGCCCCTCCCCGATGCTCCGAGCCCCTTCCTGGCCACTCACCCAGGGCGGCGCTCTGCTCTGCGCTCAGGGGGCCACTGGCCTCCTCCTCCTCCTCCTCATCCTCCGAGAGGCAGCTGCTGTCCTCAAACTCAAAGTCGTCCTCCACCGCAAAGCTCTCCAGCAGCCGACTGACCGCCCGGCCCTTGCCCTGGGGGCCAGAGGGGTCAGCTCCCTTGGGACAGGTGGGGGCGGGTGGTCAGGGCCGGCCGGTTCCCTGGGCTTGGGGCAGGGATGCTACCTGTTTGCCAACGGCCTTGGTTTTCACCTTGCCCGCTTTCCGGCCCCTCCCCAGGATGGCCTTGGCGTTGCGGGGTGACAGAGCGATGGACAGGGCCCCATTCTTCCGCTGTCGGAGGAGAGGGGTGAGGTGAGGGTGGCACAAACCTCCTTGCCCCCCGTGTGCCCGTGGAGTGACTCAGACAGACCCTGAGTATGAGTCCCAGGGTGTGACTTGGTGTAGCAAGTAGAGAAGAGTGGGATGAGGGTCCCCAAAGGCTTCCCACATCCAGTACCCCCCCTGCTGAGCCCAGGACCCCGGGGCGCCCACCGGCCCTCACCCGCAGCCCCGGCTGGAGCACCGTGCTCTTGCGTGTGGCTCTCTTGAGGCGCTCGCTGGCCAGCCTGCTGCCCTCCTCATGGCAGGCGAAGGCCCGGGCGGGGCCGCAGAGGGCGTCCCTGCTGGGCGCGGCCCCCGGCTCTGCCCGCAGGCCGCCCTTGGCCTTGGCCTTGGCCTTCTTCTTGCCGGGCCCCCCTGGGGGCCTGCGCCCCGGGGCCCGCTCCAGCTTGCTGCCCACCTTGGTCTTCACCGTCCTCCGCTTGACCTTGACCTCATTCTCGGGGCTGGACAGGCGGCAGGCCCCTGGGGAGGGAGGGCGGGTGTCACAGGAGCCCCAGCTGCCTCCCGGGGCCCCTCCCGGCCCGGCCTGCCCCAGCCCAGCCCCCCCTGGGTACCTAGCAAGCTCTGCCTCTCTTTTTTCTTCTTGGCCTTCTGGTTGGCCTCCATCTTGACCACGGAGGAGGGCGAGGGCCCCAGCATGGCCATGCGGGTCCCAGCGTGTAGCACCAGCCCGGGCTCCTTGGGGGGTTCTTCTGTCTCCAGCAGACCATCACAGTTTTCACTGTCTGAGCCGCTGTCTGTGGGGAGGTGGATGATCCAGGTAACTTGGCATCAGAGCAGCGCCATTTTGGGGTGTGGCTAGGGGAGCAGATGGTTCATGTGTGCGGATGTGTCGGGGGCCGAGCAGAGTCCGTCACTGTCGTATGGGGGCTGCTCCAAGGGCAGACACCTGGGCCAGGTGTCCAGGTGAGGTTGTTTAGACCAGGAGGAGAAGGGGCGGCCTCTCTGACCTCCCTCTCTCTGTCTCAATCTCCCTTCCTTATGCGCTGGACAGTTGGGGCCCCCACCTTGCAGGGCTGAGGGTCCCCACCCCCGGGGGCAGCCCCTTTCCCTCACTCATCCTCCTCCCAGATGCCCTCTGTCTTCCTGCTTCCTCTTCCTTCCCTTTGTTCTTTCCCAGGCGGGACCTGGAGGAGGGGGCAGGGGCTGGCAGAGAGGAAGGATCTATTTTTCCAGGCCCCTGTCTCTGGACATGTGTGTCTGCTGGGGGCCAGATAACCTCTCCAGGTCACTTGGCCGGACACAGCAGGAAGGCCGGCTGGAGCAGGCAGAAGGGCTATTTTTAACCCCTCTTTCCAGGATGTATCCAGCTGTCTGCTTCCTCCCCGTGGCCCCCTGTGTGGGGGTGGGACACGGAGAATCCATCCTAGGCCAGCAAGAGGGTCTCCCTGGGTCCAGCACACTCCAAGAGCCCCTGACCACCCCCTCCCCCAGCCCCTAATGAGCGTGGAGGCCCTGGTTGCGATGCTCGGACCAACAACTTGCCTGCTTCACGTGTTGCGGCCGCTGCCGGCTGGGCTGGGAACTTAGGTGCCTCCCTGCCACCAATGCTGCCATCAGGCTGTGGGTGCCGGGCCATCCCAGATGCCTTGGCATTCTTGGCTCGTGACAGTTTCTTCCGGATACGACCCCCTGGGGTGGCCTCCTTTCGCCGGAAGGGGCTGAGGCCAGTGGGCAGCCCCTTGCTCTTGACCTTCGGCTTCAGCTGGGCCACCTTGTGGGCCACAGCAGATGCCAGGTCGCCCTGACTGCTGCTCTTCTTGCACCGAACCTTCTCCTGTGAACAGACAGGTGGAAGCTGCAGTTACTGGTGGCCCAACCCTTAGCCACAGCCCTGCAACCTCCGGCCTCCCTACTACCACTGGTAGGTAGGCTTGGGAGGTGATAGGTCACTGGCCTTGCCCTCCACAAAATGACTGAGAGGGCTCTGGCCCCCCGGGCACAGGGTCTGCCCAGTGGAGCCTAAACTTGTGCCTGTCTGTCCCCCATTTCACAGCCTTCCCAGGAGCCCAACCCACTCAGGTTTGGGGAGGGAGGCCAAGGACCCAAACGTCTGTCCTGTCCTGGAGAGAGGGACCAGCCTCCTACTAGGGGAGGGACAGGCAAAGTGACAATAGACTCAGACCCACCTCTCGCCTGTCCCTCCCAGGACCCTAGAATAGGGGTGGGGTAGGATGTACCCACTGCACTGAGAAGGAATGGGGGGCCTGGCACCCAGGGGAAGCCCATCCCAAGGGAGGAATAGCTGTCCTTGGCCCACCCACTACACCAGGTATGCACCAGGTATGCATCATCCACCTGTGACCAGGGCAGTGCGTCCTGTGACCCACGACACCTATGTGCTCCTTTCCTCACACTGTAGTGAGCAGAGGAGGCGGGTGTCATGGAGCACAACCAGCTCCTCTCATACCTTCAGGGGCCCGGCTCTGTGAGGCATACGAAGCTCTCTGGGCCTCATCTGCTCATCTGAGCAAGGGGACCCCAGCTGGGTGGTGGTGCAGGGTAGGGCGGGGCGGCAGTGTTCAGCCTGGGGCTGGTCTTCCGCCTGCTCCCTGTCCTGTCTGTCTGACATCTTGCACCCGGCCCAAGGGGAAGGCTGCAGCGGGGACTCACCGCAGACGCGGGCTGCAGGCCCACGTAGGCGCCCTTCTCCAGCCGGCCTCGCTTCTTCGAAGGCTCATCATCACCACCACGCAGCTCAGCACATAGCAGGCTCAGGCTAGACCGCACAGCCCTGGGAGCATGGGGGGCGGAGGTCACACCGGGGCACCCGGGACTTGTGCCCATGACAGGCCCTGTGGTGGCAGCCGGGGCGCCACGTGGCGGGGGTGTGCGGTGCAGCTCTAAGTCTGCAGACCCACTTCTCCCTGTGAGGGCCCTGCCTCTTTCCTAGCCAAGGCTGTGTCCCTGGGCCAGGCTCCTCCAAGCACCCAGAACTGCTGGGGGGGCATTGGCGAGCCAAGCCAGTGCTGAGCCCCTGGGGCACCTGCTACCCAGCCGGCCCCCTCTGCCCACTGCTTAGGGGCCACAGCCCTGCAGCTGGCTGGGCCACTGTGTGACCTGGGCTGTGGCCTCCTGGGCTGTAGCCTCAGTCTTTCTACCTGGAAAGTGGGGGTGCTTTTCATTGTGTCTCTCTGCAAGGTGGAGTTGGGATCGTGCCGGTCCCAGGCCGGGCCCTTATTGAGTCCAAAGGCCAGCAGCTGCCACAATTAGGAAAAAAGAGGGAGTGAGGAGAGTCTGCCGAGAATGGGGTCCACTTGAAGCAGCTCTGCCACGGTCAGGAAAAGGATGGGGGGGTCAGCGGCCAGAGAAACTCGTGCCCAGGCTCTGCTTCCCAGCCCCCTGGGACCCCCACTGCTGGGCTCAGACCCCTCAGAACTTTGTCCCCTGCCTTCAATTCCTGGTCTCAAAGGAGGGACTCTGAATTCCCTCTAGCCCAGCTCCCAGGCCCCGGGAGCCACTGACTCTGAGCCTGGTTCCATGTCCCACAGGTGTGAGGCTGCGAGCTCCGCTCTGTCCTTGGGCAAACAGGGGCTGGGGGCTGGGCCTCTCACCTACCCGCTCCCTCACCCACGTAGCATTAATGAAAAGGAATCCCAGGTGGAGGCTGAGGGCCCTGACCCGGCCCTGGCCTTGTGTGGCCAGAAGTCAACTTTTACCTTCCTGCCCAGAGAGGCCAGCCAGGAAGCTAGCCCGAAGCCACGCGTGGCCCCGGGCGTTAGCCCTCCCACTTCCTGCCTGAGCCCAACTGTCGGCAGCTACTGCAGGGTAGGGGCCCAGAAGAGGGATGGAAAGTGGAGAGGAGCCCGAGATGGGGAGAGGTGGGAGGGAACCCCAGTCCTTAGGAAGGGAGGGCCCTGGCTTTGGTTTCCTTCCCCTGCCAACCAGGGCCTGCTTTCTCAGGTCAGTGGGGAAAGTGGCCAGATGCAAGCACCAGGACCTGGCTTCCAGGCTCGGGCTGGCTCTTGGTGCCAGGTGGGTCTGAGACAAGTGTGGGGCAGCCTCGACAAGAGGATCCCTGACAAGGCCCCCTGCCAGGCCCTGGCCTTAGCCAGCAGCCCCCCAGTTCTGGCTAGTCCTCAAAGGGAGCCCCCTGGAGCCCCCTCGGGGTGACACCTGGGCAGGGTGGAGGGACACCCCGGGAGGCTCCCCCCAGCCATATGGTGCGTCCCCTCCCCCGCCCGCAGCCGAGGAGAATTCCCCTCCCTGTAACCTTCTCTGCATTTGCTAATGTTTTGTGACATAAAGCCCTGAGATTAATTTTTTGCCTCTGTCTTAATTGAAGGAACCATTTAGTGCCGATTTAACTATTATTACCAAATCATCAGGATTGATGCAGTGCGTACACGCCGCGCCAATCGTGTTTGGAGGAACTCGAGGATTTATGCAAATGGGCCTGCCGGGAGAGGCAATTTGTAGCCGAGAAGGACAATTATACCAGGCCCGGGAGTGCGCCAACGACTGCGCCGGGCGGGTAATGGATAATAACCGCGTGCCGGCAGCCGTGCGCAGCACCGCAGCGTGACCAACGACTCTATACGGTGCAGATAAAGAGGCTTTTACGCAACGCCGCCTCGTACTTGTGGGACTGGGCGGGGGCTGGGGCCGGGGAGGGGGTATGCCACCGCCCTGGCCACAGCCAGGTGCGTGGGGCTGGAGTGGCCACGTGCCAGGCCCAGGGGGTGGGGCTTGTCTGCCCTGAGCTCAGGGCCCGGGACACCGCCACGCTCACCACCACGTCTGGCCTGGGGTTCTGGGTCTTCAGGAGAAACTCTGAGGGGGGCTCTTGTGGCCCTGGGAGCCAGAGAGGAGCCCAGCCCCAACGGTCAGGCCTTAAGGGCACCTGGGCCAGCCCAGCCTCATCGATTAACCTCAGCCCTAGGCACCCCACGGGACCCCTGCACCCAGGACTCACTTGACTTTCTTGCTGTCGCTGGGGCGCAGGGCAGGCAGCAAACTGGAGTATTTGCGTTTCCGTGGCCGGCCAGGCCCTCGCCTGGCAGGGCTCCTTGAGCTCTCGTCTCTCCTGAGGACCGTAGGAAGGGTGGTCAGAGATTGATGCCCTTCCTGGCTCCCTGGCAAGTGTCCAGCAGAGGTCACTGCCCTTGGGGGATATGGTTGCAGCCAGCTGTCCCAAGACGGCCTGGGGAGCCTGGCCACCCCGTGGAGGGCATGGCTGAGCCAGAGTCCCACCATCCCTGCTTCCCAGTTCCAGCCGTCCTGTACACACCAGTTAGGTGAGCTGCCACTACTGCTATGACAAACTTGGGGTTCCCTCTGCCCCCCAGAGCCCAACCCTGCCCTGGCCCCCTCTCTGAAAGCACTACCCTCACCCTTTGCCCCACCACCCAAGGACAAGACTCTGTCCTGCACTAGCCTCTGCTGCATACTTCTTCCACCCCACACCGTACCACACCTTGGTTTCTCTGCTGGGTGACTGGCTCATGGTTCCACTGCCTCTGGGGACCTTCCCAGGCACCCCCCCCTTCCAGTCCCCACTCACCCCAGCACACACAGGTTGACCCCTGGCCACAAGGCGATGGCCCTGGGCTGGGCCGTGCCCGCCTCTGCCCTGAACTGGGGGCGTCTGCACAAGCTGCACTCCCGCCCTCCCCGCCCCACTGCCAGCCTGGGCCATACTCATGGTCGTGCCTGCGCTGCAGCCGGGCCAGCTCCCGCTGCTTCTCCTTGTAGCGCCTCTGCAGCTCCGCCAGCTGCACGCGCATCTCCACCTCCTGCGTGTCCAGCCGATCAATGGCAGCCTTCAGTGGGCACACCTAGTGGGCAGGGGCACAGAGGCCCGTGAGCCCAGCTACGCGACCGCGATGGGATGGGCAGGTGGCCAGCCTGGGCACTCGAGGCCCCACCCACCGTCATGGCAGTGGGCAATAGGGGGCAACCAGGGCCCCCCACCCCACTCACAGGCTTGGTCTTGGGGGTCCAGGTGTCCTTGCGCCGCAGGATCTGCATGCGGGGGGTGAGCGCAGGAGCCCTGCAGGGGTCAGCGGTAGGGGGCTGGGCCAAGGAGGCGGGGCTGTCCAGGTTAGCAGCTTCGACCAGGGACCAGGCTGAGGCCAGGGTGGCCAGGCGCTGCAGGTTGAAGGCCAGCACATCCTCCTCCTCTGCAGGGGACATGAGGGTCAGTGTGATGACAGCAGGCCACACACTGTCCCTCAGAGAGTCTCTTGACATCAGCCTGCATCTCAGCCCAGCCCAGACTACCCCCTCCTCACCTCCACCCTGCAGCATGCTCCCGCCCTCCACCCTCACGCACAGGCTGCCCAGCTCCCTGAGACATTCAGACCAATGAGGGTGAGGTGGCTGGGAACGAGACGGGTCCTGGGTCAGACACCTAGCCCTCGCCTCAGCTCTGGGTGAGGGAGATGTCACCCTTGGCTACTGTGGGCCAGGCCAGTTGGAATGGCACAAGTCCACAGGACAGTGACCAGACGATTTCGTTAAGGCATGGGTCTCATTACACCTCTAACAGCAACTGCCTTGCATTTTTGCGCTCTTCCAGATTCATGAAAATGCGGAGTGTCACAGCCCTGGTGGGTGGGGAGGGACGGCCCGTTGCGGGGTCAGAGCCTGGCCAGTGGAGGGCAGTGTCCATTCATGAGACAGGCCTGGAGTGAAGACTTGGGGCTGAATACAACCACGGGGAGGGGGTGGTGGCAGAGACGGGGAGTGGGGTGGGGGTGGGGGTAGGGCACATGCAGGTAGGCAGATCCTATGAGCTACAGCCAGGGAGGGACCGGCCAGGATGAGCCCTGTGGGGTCAGGTAGTGTCCCTAGGGCTGGAGGTGTATAGTGGGTAGTCATGACATCTAGAACACATAGCCAATTCTGCCCCCGAAGAAGACCTGAGAGCAACACCCCAGTGCTAATGAGCACACCTACACCCTGAACTTGGCTTCTAATATCCTCTGAGGAAAGGCATCAGCCTTCTTGGGGACATTGCCCCAAGAAAAATGGGGAAAGGTTTGGGGTAAGCTGAGAGGTTCAGGTGAGCTGGGAACACAGGAAGCTCAGAGGACAATCCAGCGGAAGGGGCCAAACCTGAGATAATTCAATCACCAGATTAAATGGTGAAGTGACACATTATAACAGACTGAAGTAAATAAATATCCACGAGTTACACTGACATAAATAAATTAATGAGTGAATCCAATGTTTGAAGAGGAACGAGATATCACATCATTTCAAAGACACTCCCCACTGAGTAACTACAATAGAGGTGCCCGGTCACAGCCTTGATGGGGTGACCCACTCTCAGTAATGGGACAGAGCACAGGTGGACACCGGAAGTTCAACCCTCTGGATGCAGTGCTGGGTCGAGGCCAGAGGTGGGGTGCTGGGTCAAAGGTGCCCTGGGAAGACAGGGGAGGGGCTGCAGGGGCTTTATTCTCCCACCTCAAGCTGGGGCACTGATACTTGCAAATTCCATTTCAGCTAAAAGTTCCACAGGGTCTCCCTGTCCCTTGAGGTCACTGTGACTGCGAGGACACCTCCCTGTCCCTCCCTTACTCCTCAGGCTAAGCCTGCTAAGATGGCAGTCTTGCAGGTGAGCTCTGGAGGGGAGCAGGAATGGGGGGCTTAAGGAGATGGCAGGGGTGCTGGGCTCTTCTCTGGGCTCCAAACGAGACCCTGCCATGCTCTCTGGTTCAGGGAGCTGTAGGGGCAGACAACAGTCCTACCCACTAAGCCTCCAGGTCTATACCCCCTATCCCAGGAGGGATGTGGGGTGGGCTCTCCAGGCAGGTTGAGGCTCCACAGGTACAGAAGAGGCCCAAGACTTGGGTTTTCTCCCAACTAGCCAGGCTGGTAAAGGCTCTCGGGGCCAGGAGCAGGTGGGAGGAGGGAGTGTAGCAGATCAAAAGGGGGTCTGGGATCTAGACTCAGCTCATCAAGTAAACTGGGTGGGTCACTCAAGAAAGAAGGGGCAACCATACTCTGGGATGGAGCCCGGGCTTCACAAAATCCCAGGGTAGATGGGAAGTGTAGTGGACACCATGGCTCTTGCTGGCTGCTCCAAGTGCAGAGTGGGGTATTCTGGGCACTTCGGGGATGGGCCCCTGCAGGCAGGCCTAAAAATCCACAGTCAGACAAGTGAATGGCCAGAGGTGTCCCGACTTCCTCCCAACCTCAAGGCTTTGTCTGGGGCCTGAGTCCCTGCCCTAGCTGGAATGGAGGTCTGCGGGCTGGGCAGCCTGCCCACTGAGCTCCCTGGACTTGAGCCCAGATGGGGGATAAGCCAGGGTCCTGGGCCAAGTCCTACTGGTGGGGGCAGTGAGGGCTCTGGACGCCCACGCCGATGCGAGTGGAGCAAACAGCCTGGGGCCTGGCTACAGAGCCGGGGCCACGTCACCTTCCTCAACCTGGTTACCGCCTCTTTCCCACTTCTCAGGGATCCCCATCTGGCCTTTCAGCAGCTCTCCCCAGCCTGGGATGTACTTCAGGGGGAACGTACTCAAGGATGAGAGGGCGGGAGGCCCTGCTGACCCTCTGGGATCTTTTCCCTCCCTCTCCTCTCCACATCCCGGCCTGTTCCCAGGATGTTCTTCTCCCATCTTCTCCTTCTGTGAGTCCTGCCTTTTGCTCCAAAAACAAGCTGATTTCCTAATTAATTTCAGGCAAAGCAGTCACTGAGCTTGTAAGGAACAGCTCCAGAGCTGAGAGGCTGCGCAGACCTGCCAATTAACTGGGACAGTGGGAAGGGGCGGGCCTGGGAGCGACAGAAGGGGAGGGTGAAGACCTGAGGGCTCTAAGAAGGGAGGGTGGGGGGCTTGGGAGAAACAAGAGGGGAGAGTGGGAGCTTGCAGGTTCCAGAAGGGGAGGGTGGGGTGGAGACCCAGCAGTGGCAGGGCCTGGCCTGGACTGGCAGCTGCAATGCCCACAATGGGACACACGCGGTCTACACGTGAGCATCCATTCAATGAATGGGCACGGGTCCAGCAGGCATTCACAGGCACCGACCGGGTGGCCACACACATGGTGCTTGGCACTGGCTCAGTGCACCCTCACGCCAGCCACACTCACAAGGTGACTTGGGCAGCAGAGCCCCCTGCCCAGGGCCACCCCACCTCACCCTTCCAGGGGTCGTGCCAGGCGAGGGCTCACTGGCTCACTCTCCTCACCAGGACAGTGGTGGCCCCGCTGGTCAGACAGCAAAGGAGTGACACAGAGGCCTTCGGGGAAATTAACAAGAACTTTCGCTTATCTCCACGCAGCACAAGAGGTGCTGGCGGCTGGCTGTGGGCTGTGAGAGGTTCATACAGTGAGAAGACGGGCAGGCCAGCTGAGAACGTTGTTGGGTTCTTTCTATAAATATCAACCGGGTACAGTGCCTGGTTGGGGGTGCTTCCCCTTTCCCCCCTAGGGTTCCAGCTGGGAGAGCCTGGGTGGAGTCCCTGGGGGGACCTAAGGGCTAGAGAGGCCTAAGCGGAGGCCTGACCCTTGGGTGGGATGCAGGGAGCCCAGGAACAACTTGCCCAGCAGGTCAGCTCCAGGGGCCTGGTGAGGCTTAGGGGGGCCTCAACTCCCCAGGGCCCCTCCTCCCAGGGCCTGGGAGGCGAGGGTCACCGTGTCTTTAGCTGGACCCAATGCAGGTATCAGGTTCGGGAGCTGCAGAACCCAAGGTGGTGCTGGTTTGCAGAGAGAGCGCTATCTCTCCTCCCCTTTCCTGGCTGTGAGATCATCGTTTAGTGACCTGGGCCCCCCACCCCCCCACCTGTAGGCCTTGGCACCCTTGTGCGTAAAATGGGGACAACCTTGAGCACACCCCCTGCCCCCCAGGGCATCGTGAGAATCCCAGAGGTCTTCCTGACACCACCATCAGAGGCACAGTCCTGGCCCTGAGGCCCTGCCCCCATGGCCCAACCTGCAGCTGGGGCTGGAGGTGATGCTGGAGGTGTGGGCACACCTGCCTGGTTTCCTGACCCGGGGCCACACTGTGGGGACCACTGAGTGGGGCTGAAGGTGGACCCTGAGCCTGTGCCTGAGGGTCCAGCTCCCGGGGCTCCGGGGCTCTGGGTGGGATGGGGCTCACCTTGCAGGGCTGGCTCAGTCCTCTGCTGCTGGATCTCCAGGTCGACCAGCTCGCTGAGCAGGGCAATTCCATGAATCCCTGAGCTACGGGGCAGGGGAGCTGTGCGGGGTGGCCCAGGGACAGCAGGGGGCGGAGGGTCCAGTGGGCCGACGCTGGGCAGGTCCCCCAGGTTGATGGTGGCTGCCACCAGAGCGTCCAGCCCGGGCAGCTCCCCGGGCAGCTGGCTGTTGTCAGGAGTCGAACCCCAGTCCTGCTCCTCTTCCTCCTCTTCTAGTTCAGCCTCCTCCAACTCGGCCACCTCCTCTGCCTCTGCTTCTGTAGGGCCTTGCTGTTTGCCCGACTCCGCCTGATTCAGGGTGCCCAGGCTCCTCGCCGGCTGTTCCACGGCCTGGGGACCGGCCCCCAACGAGGGCCCCAGCTGTCCGTCCTCCCGCCCCTCCTCCGTGGTCCTTGCCTCTGGGGCCCCTCCTCCCTGAGTAGAATCAGCCTGGCCAGAGGCCTCAGGGCCCCCTCCCTCGAGGAGAGCCCCACACCGCAGTTCTCGCAGCCCCTCCAGTGGGCTTGGGTCTGTTGCCTTCCCCGGGGGTCCCCGCTCGGCAGGGTGAGGGGTGGCGGCAAGGTCCTGGGTGGCCTCTCTGGTCCCTGAGGGCAGCCCAGTCTCCTCCAGTTTCTGGGGGCTGCGGAGGCAGAGCTCTCCGGGCGGGAACGTCCTGGCCAGCTCAGGCTGGGCCCCCAGTGGGGCAGTTTGCATAGTTTCAGGGTCCGAGAGGTCAGATGAGTGCACGCTGCGGGGCAGGGAGAAGCCCGAGCTGGCCGCCGCAGGGCATGTGTATCCGGGAGGCAGGTCTGCAAGACAGGAGTGCAGTCAGGAGAATAGCTGGGGACGAGGGTGGCCTCCAACATCCCAGCTCCACCTGCAGGGAGGGTCCCCAGCCAACCCTCTGCCTGTGAAACGTGCCAGGCAGGAATGGGGACACAGTGTGTTGAGACGGGCAGAAGAGCACGGGGGGCAGGAGGGGCTATTTCCCAGGCCCGTCCTTGACCAGGACAGTTGTGAGCTCCCCAGCTCAAGCCGCAGCCTTGCAGGGGGCGGTATCCCTGGAGGGGGTCCCTGGAGGCCACCTCTGGCATATGTGGTGTGGCTAACCAGAAAAGGGGGGATTTTAAAACAAGATACTTGAATCAGGGTTTTCCCTGAACCAGAACGAGCTGGCAGCCTGTCGGAGGCATTACGCCCCATTAACTACAATAAAAAAAAGAAATAAAAAAAAGTCTAAAACACACACACACACACACACACACACACACAAAACAACCACGGCTGGCTCAGCCTCCTTATTGTGGAACTGGGACGGGTTTTATGTTTGCCACATGGGCTTCCACTGTAAACTCTTAGCCTAATTCAGAGAGAATCAAATAGCTGTGGGGAGTTGGCGGGCAGTGGGCGGGAGGGCGGTTCCAGCGGCCGGGCTGGGCCTGGACCCTTCACCGCAGGCTGCCGCTCCTTGCCTCGGGCCCAAGCCGTGGCATTTTTGGCCCCCAAAGTGAGAATGAGCTCCATGTTGCCCAGCTTCGTGGCTGCTGCCCCGTGGTCCTGCCACCATCACCGGCAGGCCAGGCACTTTCTCATCTTCGAGGCTCCAGCGCCGGCTGGCTGGGCCTGACCTTCACCCTGCCCCATCTGTCAGGGGCAGGAACCCTGAGTGCTTTTCCCATGGGTCTCTCAGAAGGACACGAGAGGGAGGAAGGGCAAGAGCAGTGGGACAGGCCACCTTGTCCCAGGCCCCATCAGGGGGACTGGGAAGGTGAGGACAGCCCTGCAGGGGGCCAGGGGCCAAGCCAGGTAGCATGGTCCCCTCTTAGCTCAGCCCACCAGGCAGGTGCCCGGCCTGACTGGAGGGGGCGGGCAGGCCAGGGCCAGCCCAGTGCACCCGCTCTCACCTGGATCCAACGTGTTGAGGTCGGCTCTGGGCCGCTGGCCCTCCCCACTCTTGTCTTCGGCGCTGGGCAGCTTGGAGCCTGGCCCGGGGCTGCCGGTGGGGCAGACGGATAAAGTGCACGGGGCGATAGGATGCGGTGGTGGTGTAGGGCAGCTGGCGGGGGGGGGCTTCGGGGCGGGAGAGTGGCAGCAGGGTGACAGCTTCGCAGGGCCTGCGGTGGCTGGTGAGGGGGTGCCCTTGGCCGTGGGGGTTAAGGCAACTGGCTTGTGGGTGGACTTCAAGGCCTTCTCCTGGGCGGGCTCCTCCAGCTCCAGGTGGTGGTCCTCAGGCTTCTGCTGTTGGGGTGGGGCAGAGGCTCAGCTCAGCCGGGGCCCCCAATGCTCAGGGCATTGTGGTGCAGGGCAGGGACGGGGAGAGTGGGCAGTGGGGACTCCTGGACCCGGTCAGGTTGAAGCACAGAGGGAGCCAGGGGTACCCTGGGTCCCAGCTGGGCGTGCCAGGGGGTGGGTACCTGGAATTGGCTGGCCCGCTGCAGCTCCAGGGCCTGAGTGGCCCGCTGCTGCTGCTGCTGCTGCTGCTGTTGTTGCTGCTGCAGGGCATAGAGCTCCTGTTGCCGCAGGAACTGGGACCGGGAGTAGACGGGGAGCTGGCCGGGGTGCTGCATGTGGGAGGCGGGGCCCCGGCCCCCATACATGGGGGGCCACAGCGAAGCCTGGTCCATGACATCAGCTGTGGGCAGGGCCAGAAGAGCAGTCAGCTCCGGCGGAGACAGGATGACCGGGCCGCATCCCAGCCAAGTGGACCTCCTCCGGCCCTCACCTCTCAAGTATCTGCCTCACATCTGTCTCTCGGGCCCTGGCCGGGTGCTGCCTTGTTGCCCGTTCCCCAGCGCCCAAGGGGGCTGCTCCCTTCCTCAGACCCGCTTCTGATCCCCCCACAACATGCAAATAGCCTGGCCTGAGAGGCCCTTACCAAGCGCATGGGGGGCCGTGTGGGGTGTGGGCTCAGAGGGCAGGATGACTAGTTGTGTGGGGGCGTCCTGGGAGAGGGGGAAGACGGGGGGCATGGAGCCGGGCACGGATGCAGGGAAGCCGGGGGGCAGATTCTGGTGCAGGGCAGGGTGCCCAAGGCCTGTGGAGACAGGGCACTGGGGTCAGACAGAGCAGAGCAGGAAACAGGGCCCCAGGCCGGCACTGACCACCATGCCCCGCCAAGACTCTTCTCCTGCCCCGTGCCCCTACCTGCCCTCAGAGCACTGACCGTAGGAATGTCCTCCCATCCACAAGGAGGGGCTGCGGGTGCGGGGCAGCCAGGGAGGGTGGGCAGGGTGGGGGTGGGGGGCCGGGTCCCCGGCCAGCTGGCCGCTCTGCAGGGAGGATCCCCCAGCGATCATGAGATGGGGGGCCAGGTCCCCGGGACAGCCGCCTGATGGGTGGATCCGGGCGAACTCCACGAGGTCCTTGTTGTCCCTGTCCGTCATGGGGGTGGGTGAGGGCTCCGCATGGCCACCAGCCACCCCCAGCCCAGCTTTTCCACCCCATGTGGCCCCACTGGGCACCCCCAGGGGCATGGCCCAGTCCCCAGCAACAGGTGCAGCCTGGTTCTTACTGCAGCAGCAGTTCGCGGCCGGCGAGCCCCAGGCGGTCCTCACACAGGCGGGCCCTCTCCTCTTCGGCCTCCAGGTCCAGTGGGTGGGTGGAGCGGGGCCCACCGCCAGCTACACAGTGGGGGGATGGCAGAAGGGGTGAGGGCTGGGTTGGCTGGGGAGCCACAGCTAAAGCAAGCAGGAACCCCACTTCAAGCCAGGAGACTGATGAACAGAGGGGTTCTCCTGCCCCGTGAGTCTCACAGGAAAGGCGCAGGGTAGGTCAGGTCAGCGCCAGGAAAAACTGCAGACGTGGGGAGGTGATGGGTGCGAAAGCCCGGGGTCCAGCCCTGGGAACCGTGGGTGAGTGGACTAGGGCAGTCAGTGACACCCCCACCCCCCGCTCCGTGGAGGGTCCGTACCTTTGAAGGCGGGGGCTGCCCGGCCCTGCCGTCCTGTGTTGGCACCGTAGGCTGACTCCGACCGGCTCACCGTGTCCTTCTGCCTGGCCAAGGCCACTGCAATGCCCACTGGCGGCTGCCGCACCTCCCCATCACTGTGGGTGGCATCATGCTCCCGGCTTCGGGCACAGTCAGGCCTTTCCACCTCGCCTGAGGCCTGGCCTGCACCCTTGGAGTTTGGGAACTTCCCGTCCTGCTGGGCACAGCTGGCCTTCAGGCCCCCCAGGCCCACGAAGGGTGCCTTCTGGCCAACGACCAGCGCTTGGTTGCTGTACTTGAGCAGGTTCTTCATGGCCGAGACCTCGTCAGGCGGGGCAGGCAGGTCCTGCGGCAGGAGGGCGGCCTGCTGCAGAGTGCCACCAAAGGGGTCCAGATAGGCGCCCGCCTTGCGCTCCTCACCAATGGCCATGGGGGCCCCCTGGCCTGACTGGACGTTCCATGGGGGCGGGGGCGGCCCGCCATAGCCCAGAGACGCCAGCTCCAGAGACTTGCGCTTGACCTCGGCCCCGCTGATCCCCGGTTCTACCTCAGGGGCCACCAGGTGCTGCTGATGCCGGATGCGAGCCACTTTCTGGGAACCGGGGGCACCCACAGGCGTCTCCTTGCTGGCAGCCTTGTCTAAAGTGCAGCAGGCCTGGGTGACCTTCCCACCCAGTGGGTCCTGGTGACTAGGCCGGGCGCAGTCTTGCGAGGGGGCAGGCAACTCAAAGTAGCCGCTTTTGTCCAGACCCGCTTTGGGGAGCCCAGGAAAGGGGGCCTCAGGGCCGGCGCTGTCCAGGTACTCCAGGCCCTTCAGCCGGGGGTTGAGGGCCGCTTCGAAGCTCCCGGACCGCCGCTCGCCCTTGCCCTCAGCCTTCAGGTGGGCATAGGAGACCCCGTAAGGCGCAGCATGGTCAGGCGCGGCGGCCGCCTCCAGGTGCCGATCCTTGCCCTCACCCACCACGGCACAGGCCTCAGCCGCCTGGAAGGGGCGGCTCTTGTCGGCCAGGTGTCCCACGGAAGGCACGAAGGTGGGCCCACTGGCCTTCAGGTCCCGGGGGACTTTGTCCTGCAAGGGGCAGAGCCCATCCGGGCCCCCATGCAGCTGCAGGCAGGGGAAGGGGCCAGCCGCAGCTGTGCTGAGGGGAGGGGGCGGCCCCGCGGGCAGGCCGGACGGCACTGTGTAGGACACGGCATGGTGCAGCATCTGCCTCCGCTCCAGGCACTCGCTGAAGGCTGGCCCAGGCTCTGTGGGGCCCGCCACCTCCTTGGTGCAGCGTCCAGTTGCCGGCATGCCCACACCTGGCCGCCCTAGCACGGCCCCTGCGCAGCTGGCCAGTGTGGACCGGCCCAGCTCGCCGTCGAGCACCTTGGTGTTGAGAAGGCAGGAGGCCAGGTGCTTGGGGCGGCCTTCACAGGCTCCCCGGGCCACGCTGCCCTCCTTGCAGTGAGAGTCCCCTGGCACAGGCAGCACCAGCTTGTGCCGCCCCCGGCCGACATCCTCTTCTGCCGCCGGCCGCTCCTTGCCCTCAGCTGCCTTGCCGGTTTTCTCTTTGCCCATGAGGAAGCGGTCGAACTCCTTGGTGCCCTTCTGCAGGTGGCTGGCCTCGCCCCTGTCGCGGCTGCAGGAGCCGATGGGGTGGCCGGGGGCGGCCCGGGCCACACTGGGGAAGTTGTGGTTGGCGGGCAGGAGCGTGGGCTGGGGGGGCAGGTTGCGCAGGTAGAAGTTGTCTGCGTGCCGAGAGAGCTGAGGTCAACAGGAAGCCCGAGGCAGGGGCTGGAGGGCTCAGGGCCCCCAAGACACTGCTCCAGGTGCCTCCCCACCATCACTGGCTGACCCTGACCCATTGGTACTTTTCAGGGAAGGTTTATAACTGTAGAAAACATATTAACATAAACATCACCTCTTTAACCATTTTTAAGTGTGCCGTTCAGTGGCTACTATGTTCGTGGTGTGCAACCTTCATCCCTGTCCATTTCTGGAATTTTTCATCGTCCCAATCTGAAGCTCTCTGTCCCCATTCAATACCGACTCCCCATGTCCCAGAGGTTCTGACTTATGTTCACCCCTAAGAGATGAGCACTGAAAAGAGCACAGCTCCCATAACTCTGCGGATCAGTGGAGGGAGGGTGGGAGCAGGAGGCAGTGTGTCCTCACTGGACGAAGAGGGTGAAGTCTGGGGCCGCAGGCATCTCCCCCAACCCCACACGAGCTGGAGGAGTGCAAACTGATCAGTTCTTTACAAACAGCCATCAGAACCCTAAAGGCTAAGGAGGTTGTGGGCTTATAGTTGTATGCTTTGTCTGTCGCTCAGTTGTGTCCGACTCTTTGCGACCCCATGGACTGTAGCCCACCAGGCTCCTCTGTCCGTGGGATGTCCCCAGACAAGAATACTGGAGTGGGTTGCCATTTCTTTCTCTAGGGACTTATAGTTGGGGGAGTGGATATCCACTCTGAGGAGTGGATAGCTGTGCTGTGATGTGGCCACTACAGAGCTCAGGACACCCAGCCACGTGGAGCGTTATCTGAGGCAGCCCCTGAAAGCGGGACAGCGCACTGTCGACAGCAAAACGGATGGCCTTCAGTAGCCCCTGTAAGTGCCAAGACACCCCTGCCCGGGAGGAAGTGAGGCCCCAGCCAGACATGCGTCTGAGAATGGGCCAGGAGTGAAGGACCCAGCCCACCTACCTCCTGAAAGCTCTGAGAGGCTCCCAGCCCTTCTGCATCAGGGGCTAGGGTGATCCTTTAAGGAAGGAAGAAAGGAGAACGGTCCAGATGCCCATCCCTATCTAGTCCACACTGGGCTCTCGATGTCTCTGCAGCTCTGGCCCATCCTGCTTGAGTGGCTGGGGGGTGTACCCCCAGCTCCCTGCATGGGGTCAGCCTGGGTCCCCCCTAACCTGGGGTGCCTTGCTCTCTACCTGGGTCCCTGGCCAGCCCTACGGACACCCACTGCTCCCTAAGCTGGGGCTGGGTTACTGGGGACCTGGAGGGGCCGCCCCCCTCTACACCCAGCTGGGGTGGCGGATGGGCAGCCTGGATGGCCTGGAGCCTAGAGAGGGAACAAAAGAAACATTTGGAACTTGTAAAACTGTCCTCAGTCCTGTAAATTCCTTGTCAATTTCCTGCTAATTAAAGCAAAGGGGAAGAGGGTAGCCTGGGCTAAACCCAATTAGCTCAATTTCCCAAAACCAAAGTGTTCTCGGGTGGGGCTCCGCCACAACACTGTGGAAGCCGAGGAGGCCACCAGCGCTCCTGGAAGCCAGCGGCCCACACCCTGGAGGGGGTCCCTAGCTCTGGGTCGGATTTCTGGGGCTGGGACCACCTGCCTGCTCTTGACAAGCGCTGTCAAAACAGCAGCACACACGGGGGCTGATGTGGGAGGTGGAGGGACTCAGGCCGTGGCCCACGCGGGGCTCTCCTCTGGGCAGCAGAGCACCTGGGCTCCAACCCCGAGGAGGCTGGCTCCCTGGGCATCCAGTGTCTGTCCGAACCCTTCATGGGGCCGGGGAGCACTCCTGGCCCCTCTGCAGGCAGGGTGTCATCCGCCCCCACCCAAGCTTGACCAGCCCTGGGCTGGGCCAAGTGAGAGTGAGGCCTTCCACAGCCTCAGCCATCCAGCCCGGACGAAGATGCCAGGTGGGCTCCAGGACACAGACACCCCAAGGTCATAGAGTGGGAGGCTGTGAGGAAACGGGGTGACGGTGGTGGGAGGGCAAGAGGACAGGCCACAGGCCCACCCCCAACCTGCCTCATGTGGTCACCGCTCTGGGGTCCCCTTCCTCCGCTGAGACCTTCAGGATTCTCTCCTCCTTAGCTGCTGCCGCTTGAAGCCTGCCGGCTACTGTGTGGGCCCCTCCCCTGCCCCCACTCAGAGCCCCGATTTTGGGGCTCCCTGGAGCTGGATCTGTCCTTATTTATCCTCCTCACCTGGGTGGCCCCTCTCCTTGAGCTGGATCAACCTCTCAACCTGCCCTTCTGGCACTGACCCCCACCATGAGTATGCAGTCACCCCCTGGGAAGGTGGCCTCTGCCTCCCAGCCCCTCAGCATGAAAAGCTGAACTCATCCCTCCCCTCTGAACTGCTCCTCTGCAGGTACCCCTTCCTGCAGCCTGGGCTATAAATGGGGGTCATCTGGGGCCCCCTGGCCCTCGTGCCCCATCCAGGCCCCCCATGGGATCCCATGGTCCCGTTCAAGTCCAGATCACTTGTCATCTAAACACGGTAACTAACCCCAGCCTCCTGGGCACCACCCCTGGAAGATCTTTCTAAAACGTAGATGAAGTGTCACCCCACCCAAGAAAAATCCTGGACACGGGGCACCAAGGTCTCAGGCCTCCCCCTACACCTGTCTCATCTCCAGGTGGCTACATCTCTCATGGACTCACTGAAGGCTGGGCCTTTACACACACATGTGTGTGTGTGCATGTGGTGTGAGCACACCCTTCTTACAGAATGCCCTCCCAACTCCACCAGCCCTGTTTCCATCAGCAAAGCTCCAACCTCAGCATACCCTCTCCAGCGACATCTCCTGCCCTGGGGTAGGAGTCCCTCCTCTGTCTGCTGGGGGCACACCATTGCCCCTGTCCCCTGCTGCTGCCTCCACCCCCTACCCCTGACCCCTCTGACCTTAAGCCCTGGTGCGGGTTGGGGGCTGGGCCTTCTGCTGTCTAGCTCAATGAGGCAAGAGGTACAGACTTCTAGGGGGCTCCCCTACCCCCACCAGGTGGTATTCTCCCCTGAGCTGCCCCTGGGACCCCTGAGCTGCTTGGGTGGGTCGGTGGGGGGGGGGGTGCCACAGGGTAAGGCCAGGTGCTGAGGGAGCTGGGTGCCACTCCTTCAGGGCCGCGCTTGTTTGAGATGCTTCCACCTGGGTGATGAGAGCTCACGGAGCATGGCTGTGTTTTCAGCATGCTTGCCTGACCCCGGCATGCAACCAGCTGCTTGGCCGTGGTCCTGGGCCCCGCACTTCATAAATTTTCTGGGGGCCTGAGAAGCAGGCCCATCCTCCTCCGGCCCCTGTACCTACAGTGTGGCCTGGAGAGAACGGTTCATCCAGGCTGGCCACCTTCACCTGGCACCCCAGAAGCCCTCAGCCCTGCCCTCCACCCCTCCAGGATGCACTGTGTCCCAGGCCCCATGCAATCCCTCACAGACCCACGCCAGCACTTGCCTTTTTGGGTTCCATAGAAACGATGTTGCCCATAGAGAACATTGCTGTTTCCATGGTGATCCAAGTGGCTCATGGGTAGGAAGGTGGATGCCAGACTCCCCGAAAATCTGGGGTACCCTGGAGCTAGAGAAGCAAGGAGACTGCAATAGAGGCGCCTCTGGGCCACAGGCTTGCACCCGCCCTGACCCCAGGGAGGTGAGAAGCCGGCGGGTGGCCCAGGAGTGACGCCCCGCAGAGCCGGCGTGCAGCCCGCCGGTGGGAAATCAACCCATCAATACATCATATTAACTCTGACTCGACTAATACCATCCCTCCGGTGTGGCACAAATTGAATTGCTGATGGGCTGGGGAGAGAGGGGAGGATGGAGGAGGGAGCCTTTGATTTCTCTCCCAGCAGCACTTAGCAGTGCGGGAGCTTCGAGGCAGGCCAACAAAAGGGGCTCTGGAGAGGTGTCTGGGGAGGAGGGAGATGTGGCGGTCACACTCAGTGGACATGGAGGCCCTCGCAGCTCAGGACGAGAGGAGAGAGGCAAGGCCGGACACCACGTTGGCCTGTACCATCTGTAGCTGCCAGGTGAGCAAGCCACTCTGGGCTCAGTGGCCCATGCCCTAGGGCTGACTTGGTTGGGTGTGGCCAGCTTCTGCCTGGCTGGAGGCCATGGGCACCAGGCTGTCCACTGGCCCGGCCTCCTCAGTGCTCTGAGATCGGCACAATGAGCTGGTCCCCCAGCCACGGTGGCATCGCCCCCCCAGAAGAGCTTCCTGCGTTGGTCCCCAGCCCGAGACCCTCCCTGGAGCCTCTGAGTCATGTCAAGCAGGCCCCTCTCTGTCCCTTTGAGGAGCCTGGACTGTCTTCTTGGCCTGGCCCTGCCCAGCAGAGGACCACCAACTACACCCTGGACTTCGCTCTGGCCACCTGGGACACACACCCTGCCTCCCAGAAGTGATGAAGACAGAAAGAGCGAACATTTGGCCAAGGAGGCCCCTTAGGCACTGGCACCTTGAGACCAGGCACAGCCATGGAGGCGTGTCTGTTGGATGCCCAGAGCCACCTGCAATGTGGCTCCTCACAGCTGGTCCTTCTCCACCAGGCCCAGCGGTGAGGGGGTGGGGGCGGGCGGAGGCCTGCGGCTGGGATGGCTGAGCTGGCTGGGCTGGGGTGGACAGGATGCTGTCTTGCTCCAAAATTCCTGCTTTGAGTTAATGCTCTTAACATTTTCCCCATGGAAAATGAGTCCCAGAGGAGCTGCTCTTGGGGACCCCACAGCTGTCCCAAGAGTGACAGGTTGCTGGGGGCGGCTTCCCACCTGACTTCTGAGGCGCCTGGGCTGTGACAAGGGAGCAGGAAGGAATCCTAGGGTCTCCCCGGGGAGCAGGGGCCACAGGGAGGAGGGGTTGGCGCAGGGTCCCGAGGCTGCGGGCCCTGCGGGAGGGTGGTGGGTCCCAGGGTGAGTGTTCAAGCCGGGTCATAGCTGTGCCTTGATACAAGGGAGCCGTGAGCCCCATGCCTGGGGAGCAGGGGTACCAACATCCCTCTTAGTACATCACGACAAAGTTACAGACAAGTCTGAAGCAGGGAGCTAGCTCCGTGTGACCTGCTCATTTACTGTTTTCTAAATTCCTCTTAGGACAGAAGCCCTTTGCTGTTTCACTGGAACTCCTTGTGGCAACTCATGGCCGGAGGTTCCATGGAACACACGAGACCAATACCTTTCTAGAAGGAGAGGCTCAGAGCTGCAGGACAGGCCTCCAGGCCCCAGGTCCTCAGAGGCCCTGAGGCTGGCCTGCCTGGGTGCTGAGGCTGTTGAGATGGAGGGTGGAGGCCAGCTCAATCTCTGTGGGTGCATAGGGGTGAGCCCTGGAGCTTGCTGTGAGTATGAGGGGCCCAGGAGCAGCCCCTTGGCAAGCCTGAGGCTGGGGTGGTGAGCCGTGCCAGCTGGGGCTGCGGAACCCAGCTAAGAGGTAGGGATGGACGAGGAGCTGTGAGAGAATGGGAACCACACAGGCATCAAACACTCTGGGATCCCCTAGGGTCAAGGCCCCCAACCCAAACGGTGCACTCTGCACCCTGATCCTGGTGGCCCCCTCGACATATCCACCATCCTGCCCCTAATGATGCAGGAGGATGGTCTCTGGATCAGGAGGTCTGAGGTCAAGCTGAGGTCTGAGGTCAAGCCGAGGTCTGAGGTCAAGCCGTGGCACCCATCCTCAAGAGGTGCTCCCCGCAGAACGTTCCCCTACCAGCCCCGTTTGGAGGTTCCCCTCAAGCACGCGTGTTGCAAAAGCTCTGAGAAGTCCCTTGGGCATCTCCCCACCGAGGGGCTCACATCCCCAGGCCCGTGGGAGGATACAGGGGAGGTGCCCGCTGCCCCCCAGCCCTATCCCTCTGCAGCCCCCTAATGCCAAGGGCATGGCTGAGTCTGGGGAGCCTGGCCGCCTCGCCTGGTTTGTGAGTGGAGACACATCTGGAGCAGATGTTTCCGAGATGAAATGCAGCTCCTGGAAGACCTGACAAAAACTGGCCGAGGCCATCGGGGGTGGGGGCAGGCCACGGCGGGGGTGGGCGGGGGTGGGGTGGGGTGGGCAGAGGCCTGTGTGTGTGCTGGGGGGAGCAGTTAAAGTGCCACAGCTGTCCCCCTTTAATTGGCTGCTGTTAAATGTTTTACGGGGCCTCGTTTTGGTAAACAGAAGTCTGTAAATTCCTCCTTCCCAGACGCCGGTTACCCAGGCACAGACACCCCTGTGACCCCTCGGGAGGTCTGGGCCTCCCGCCCACCCGCCCTCGGGGGAGCCGGCCTTCAGCTGGCCGAGTGGTGGGCTCCTTCCTGCCGCACCCTTCGGGGGGCAGTGGGAGGGTGATGGCCATGCCTGTCCCTCCACTTCTGACCCTGCACTGCTGGCCAGGGATCAGGGGACAGGAATCTACGGGGGCCCCTCCCCCCATCTCCAGTCTGCATAAAGTCCCACCCTCTGGGACTCCAGAAGGGGAGTTAGGACTGGGGGAGTAAGGATGGGGAGATGGAAGAAGAAACAGAGTGGGCAAGGGCTGGAGCTGAGTGGGGTGGCCAGGGAGGGGGGCTGTGAAGAGCGGGTGGGCATCTGGGGTGGGGGGCAGAGGGAGGAAGGAGAGAAGCCCTCCCAGTTCAGCCACAGAAAGGACCCTTTCTTCTTCCCAACAAGACCCTACTCTCTGAATTGAAGAAAATAAAAAATGATTTTTTATGAATCAGAGCAGCTGTTCTGTGACCAGAAGCCAGGGCTGCTGTAGCTGGCCTGGGAAATGCCTCAGGTCCTCAAAGGGGCTTCTGCAGAGGAGAATGTGGTGGTGGTGGGCTCTGAAGAGGTCTCGGGGAGCAGAGGATGGGGGTCGGATACCCTGGAACCCAGGGCCAGAGCCCCTCGACCCTGCACTCCTTCGGGGTGGCGTGGTCCAGAATCCCATTGTTCCCAGGCTCTCACACCCCCCCCAAGGTTGGCTACTGCGATCGCCCCAGTTGACAGGTGAGCCCACGCTGTGTCCTTGGGCCCCCGCTGCCCTCGGAGCCCTGAAAGCCCCTGCTGAGTTCTAGGGAGAAGCCCTGGGCCTTGGCGAACAGCCCACTGAGATTACCCCCATTCTGGTCCCATGCTCTGAGCTGCCAGGAGACAACCCCACCCGTAATGTGAGCATTAACAGGGGACAAAAAGGTGACACCATCAGCACCTAATGGGGTTCAATGATGTGGAAGCAGTCTAGAGCTGGGCAGGGGCAGCACAGACCAGGTCCTTGGTCTCCTAGGACACCCAGCCCCTGCCAGAATCCCCCGGGCTCTTGCTGGCCACATCTGGGAAGGTCCGAGGTGTTGGTGGGGAGTGTGCTAAGTGGGCTAAGGAGAGGAGCCAGCGGGCAGCCCACCCCTGGTGGGGGCTGCCCAGAGGGCAAGGTCTGAAGATGGAAGGGTAGGGACACTTTACAGGGAAAATAGGTGCCATGGGGTAGGAGGCGCCTCTTGTCACCCCACCAGAGAAGGTGCCTGGGAGGACCCCAGGCCTGCTGCAAGTCTCTCAGCTGGAGAGGAAAGAGGGGTGGCCCTGGCCCCCTACATGCACCCTCCTTGCCTGACGGGGTCAGTCCCCACCCCACCTGATGGCACCTCACCTCTCCTGGGTTTTGCTGTAGAACTTTCCCAGCAGCCCGAGGTGCCCCACCTGCCCCAGGCCAGACCCAAAGGCTGGGGAGGTGACAACACCCCCCCGGGGCCCTTGCAGGGTCCACCCTCCTAGGAGAAGATCGACTCTTGTGTCTCAGAAGGCTGACTGTCTCCTGGCCAGGTCTGGGCATGGGGTGGGGTGTGGCTTGTGACCAGCCAAGCAGCAGACCAGAATCCCTTGTGGGGTGGGTCAAGGGACTCCCACCGCAGAGTCCGTGAGACCCCCACCCCCAGGCCCACAGAGCTCAGTGCAGACCCTGCAGGCTTAGCAAACTGCCAGCGGCCTGACACACAGGGCTCTAATCACCATCATGCCACCAGGGTCCTGCCCCAGCTCCCCGCTGGCTCCCTGCACACCCATGTGGGCAAGGCCTTCGGCAATAGATGCCCCCCGCCCTCCATGATGCCTTGACAAAAACATGGCCACCTCCCTGGAGGCTTGAGTTACTAGAAAGTTCTCCCCACCACTGAGCCCTGAGCTGTGGCCAGGGGCTGCCAGCAGGGTCTGACATCAAGTCCCAAAGGCAGCTCCCCACAGCATGACTGGCTGAGCCCCCAATCTATGGGGCCGAGAATCACGCTTTTATACAGCTGGCCACACTGTGGGGGCGGGGCGGGCTGGTGCTCCAGAAAACCTGAGTCGAACCATCTCAACTGCCCATCTCATGGGGTCAAGCCCACCCTCCAGGGCTCAGCAGAGGGGAAAAGACCCTCTGGATAGAACCCCACCAGACCACTCCACCCTCAACCGGTGTCCTGCCAACCCTGACAGGTCCCAACTTTACTCTACCCATGATAATCCCCACGGACACCTAGGCAAAGAGCCCTTGTTCCTGGAGCCCCACACACATCTATCCCTCTGAATTCTGCCACACCGACACTAACTGGGTGCTGGCTCTCTTCTTGTGACATCCTTTTCACTCAGGGTGTCAG